GACAATATTTGAACATTTAAATTTAAAATAAATAAATTGTCACATCTCACAACCATTTAAAATGAACTAAAATTCTAAAATAATCCAAATTCGTTTATATATTATAAATGCAGCAGCTTTATATAAAGACATTATGTCTACATTGAAATATACATTTAAAATAAATAAACAAACTAATAAACAAATAATTCTTCAAAACATTGTGAAGAACTTAAAAGAGATGTATTCCTTAAAATGTTCAAACTTTAGATATGTAAGTAAATCTGTGAACCTTATGGCTTGATTGTATTTCACAGCAAGTGATCTGCTACCAGCAATCATGCAAAGTCACAGCATGTGAGCGGAAATGCAATATGATTTTTGGACTGCCCTTAGACTAAGCAACAGACGTTCTCTCCTCATGCGGGTATTAAATCCCACGGGATTAGCGTTAGCTCACAGTCAGTTTGGAATAGATTTAACCGCTCTGCTCTCCTCTCTGACCCTGCCATAGGGATCGGAGTATTAAACAGACGAGATGCTACGACAACCCAACCTCTCACCTTGTGGCCAGGACATGACCTCCTAGCTTCTTCGAGTAGTTAACTTCATTAACAGTCACTACAAGGTGATTATTGAAATAAACAGATAAACAGTGTGTCCATCCTGTATACATCACACCCCAGAAAACAGGATGAACATCAGCTGTCATTCAAACTGAAAGAGGCGGGGCTTGTATTGAGCATAAGAGCATGTGTGTGATGTCAAATCAGGGGTGACAAGCAGTCACTGATCACAGAATAGGCTTTATAAAAGAGTTGTTTATGTGTACTTGATGAAGAATGTAAAAATCAACACCCTAGAAACCTTAGAATGCCTTTTGGATAGGGAAGAACCATTCACATTACCTGCGAAAATGTAACATTTATTTTTAGCCTCACACTGATTAGGCTTTTGATGATGACACTGGCTAACATTAGAAATCAAAGACTAATTTGGACTTTAAATAACTTCCAAAAAGGGAAATAGTGAACATTTAGGATTTTCTGTTTGGATTTCAATGAGAGTTTTGTGCTTCCCCTCTCCAACTTTGCAAGAAGTTTAATCTGAAATCCAAAAGATTAGTGCTAACCAGCAGTGGAGTGTAAATCTGCTGTAAGATCACAGAGAAAGCAGAGGATCTCTAGTGCTGCTCTGTGCTGGAGTTTATTCTCTCCACACATTCAGCACTGCAGAGGAGAGCTGACTCTTTATTTAAAGAGTCAGACCACCTATTAGAGATCTTAGTTACTGTAATTAGTGCAGCAACAGAGATGTTAACAATACCAAAAGATATATTTAAAAAAATAACTTACCATAAAAACATTGTCATAATTCCCTCATGCCATTACGAATCTATCAACACCCAATTACCAATAAGCAGAAACAATGTATTTATTAATTAATTTATTTGTTCATTTAAATAAATATGCATACATTAATTAATTAATTAAAGAGAGAAAGGAAGAAAGGGTATACGAATAAGAGACAGCATTAATGCTTAACTGAGAAAACACAGCCCAAAACAATGATTTAAATAAATGTATAAGCAATAACATCACAAAACAACTTAACGTTATTATTATTGTTATTATTATTATTATTAATACTAAAATGTTATGTACAATATATTTATAATGTATATTACGTATATATTACTGTAGTATAAATATTTTTTATAAATAATTTTTTAAAGTTTAAAATGCAATAGCAATTTTTTACAACAATTTTTTTTTTAAAAGATGATTGGTAAAAAAGGTTAAGTAGATTTTTGAAAAAAATTTGAACATCTTTACAACAACAACAACAATAATAACAATAATAATAACAACAGAGAAAATATACTGTTATTTTCTGCCAGAACATTATCCATTCATAAATGTATAATCAACAACATCACAAAATAACTTAATGTCACGATGCGCTACTGTGAGGAGCACGGAGCAAGGAACGAGGAGACGAGGAGTAAGCTTCCAACAAACAGACTTTAATTGACATCAAAGGAACCAGGAACACACACGTAGCGGGGAAAAACGACATTCAATACCAGACGAAGGAACTATGGACAGGACTCACTTTAAATACACAAGACTTGATGAGGGGATGACGAGACACACCTGGAACTCAATAAACAATTAACAAGGGAAAACTAGGTCACGGGAGCATAACACACACAAACAGTTCATGGGTGTGACACTTAACATCATCATCATTATTATTATTGTTAATATTACTATTATTATTCATACTAAAATATTACATACAGTAAATTTATAATGTATATAGTATATATTATTGTAGTATAAATATGTATTTATAAATAATTTTAAAAATGTTAAAAATAAATAGCAATATTAAATATTAAAAAAATTATGATTGATGAATAATAATAATAATAATAATGTATTTAAAAAACCAGCACATTATCCATTCATTTGACAGACATTTCCGTTAATTCTAAAATATATCATAATACAGTGCAAAATTCAAAATACAGGTAAAACAAAAAAGTGTTTAAAAAACACTAAGAAATCAATATGGAAAATTCCTTCATATTAATACAGTACACAGCGCCCTTTGAAATATAGTGCCACCTATTTCTTTCTCATGTTGTGTTTCACAGCAGAGAGATGATAAAGTGACAGGTTTGACAACATGAGTGAGTAAATGAATTTTCATTTTTGTTTGAGTTACTGCTTAAAACACACAGATCAAAAGATGTGCAACTCCAGTGTCGCTTCAACAATCACCTGTATGAGTGAGTGCTCAACCCTGCTGCATTGATGAACCATTACATCACTTCCTCTCCCCCTGCTTAGCACTTTTGACATGTGCCTCACACCTCAAGCGACACAAGTGTGAGAGTGTGTGTGCGAAAATATCACAAGAACTGTAAAACAACAGCTCTGAGGCACACAGCGACAGCAGCTAACATAGAGCTAATTTCTTTCCTGAGAGCCACTCACTCGCCGCGCTAACCGCCCCTTAAACGGCCCCCAACACGCCAGCACTCCACACAATACCCTTCAGAAAGCACTTCATCAGCCGGCCCCATGCATATATTCATAGAGATATGCAAAAAGCTTTATGCTTGTGAAGGTTTTTCTTTTCACAAAAGCCTGCAGAAACACCTTTGAGAGAGCAGGAATTGCTCATGCGGGGCGAAGACCTGTCCGTCACACAGATGAGATGCAAACATATTACAGTACACCCTAAAGTACAGTTTAGTCTCTGATTAAACTGTGTAAAAGAGACTGGTATTGTGCACTCTGAATACCATGCTGCTTTTCCCAGTGCTAGACAGATTGGTTGTGGTCTCATAGAAGAAACACTGCTGATATTAGTGTGTTAGTCACACAGGGCCGCAAGGCACACAGTCACACACACATCCACACCCGGCTGATAAACTGGCCTGTCAACACTCCAACTTGTGTGCTGAGCTGCTGGATTTGAGACTAGCAACAACACAAATGGATACACACATACACAACGTCACAGAGCGACATTGCAGCGGGCATGAGGGAGGACGGGAACCCTTTCATCCTCCAAAAACTTGAGAATCAAATAAAAAGATTCACAGAGCTGCATATTTGGAAGGGTGATCTGATTCACAGCTGTTGTCTATTATAAGAGGCTGAGCATGTTTCACACAGCAATGAGCTGGAGTTAATGTGCTGTAACCGGTTTGGGGATTTGGGTGTCTGCTACCTAGGCAACGGAATCTAGAAGGCACAGTGACATGATGCGTTCACAGGAAGACTGACACTGTGTCGTACCAGGCATGATGCAGCAGCAACAGCCAATCAGAACAGTGCATGGACGGGTTTTCTCTGTTTGATCGCTGTCACACTTACAATAAGCTGTACAATGTAAAACACACACTGGACTTTTCCCATTTGGACACTTGCAACAAATGACCAACACTTTTCAAGCAAAACATTACACATTAAAAAAAAAACTATTTAAAATAACCTTCGGACCAGTTAAACGTAATTGAAAAATCTCGGAAAAAGGAAATTGAATTTTTTATGTATGTATGGATGGATGGATGCATGCATGAATGTATGTATATATGTATTTATTTATTTATTTTTAAGAAATAATCATAATATTTGTTTCTTTTAAGATTTATTTTTGGCCTTTTTGCCTATATTTTGATAGGACAGTAAGTATCTGACAGGAAGCGAAGTGGGATAGGAAAGGGATCAGGAAAGGTCCACGAGCCAGGATTCGAACTCGGGACACCTGTAGTGCAATGGCGCTAAATTGTAATATTTAAAAAATATTGTAATATTTAAATGTGTAGTAAAAGCACTCATTTTTAGTCATGCATTAAATTGATCAAAAGTGACATTAAAGAGAAATGTTTTTTTTTATCAACTTTCTATTAATCCAAGAATATTTAAAAAATATATATAAAAAAAAAATACAATGGTTTCCACAAAAATATTAAGCAGCACAACTGTTTTCAATATCGATAATAATAAGAAATGCTTCTTAAGCACCAAATCAGTATATTAGAATGATTTCTGAAGGATCATGTGACACTGAGGACTGGAGTAATGATGCTGAAAATTCAGCTTTGCCACCACAGAAATAAATTACATTTCATATTTCATTCAAATAGAAAACAGTTATTTTAAATTGTAATCATTTTTCACAATAATAAAATTTTTACAGTATTTTTGATCAATTAAATGCAACATTTTGAGCATAAGAGACTTACTGACCCCAAACTACTTCTGAGAAAAGCATCATTAGGGCTATGCCTCAGAATGTAAAACCAAATAGCCGACTTACTGCCAAAAGACAGACTTGCAGCTACAACTTTTTTTTATCACAACACATCTGACACTTCCAGGATGTTCTGGCATGAACCTGACTTTCTCAGTCTGATCCAGGCTCATCTTCCTCAGGCTAAAAACCAAAACTGACCCCATAAGTGACTTAAGACAAAAACTGATCTTAGGTCAGAGACTCACCGTTGACTGTGAGGTGCACCCAGCTGCCGTTGTGAAAGGTGTGGTACTGTTGTTCCAGCATCAGGACCTTGCACTCGTACCAGCCCTGGTCTTCCGAGCGAACCCTCTCAATGCGTAGAGATGACTTGCCATGCAGGCTGGCTCGGCCTGTGGAGTTTAGAGACACATAAAAGATGTGAGAGATGCTCTAACAGGATCCAAAACATCCATCTACCACAAAACAGCAAGTAAACTGTTTAAATAAGTCAGTTTGAGACACAAATATGACTTAAAGGGATAGTTCACCCAAAAATGAAAATTCTGTCATTAATTACTCACCCTCATGTTTTTCCAAACCCCTAAGACCTTTGTTTATCTTCGGAACACAAATTAAGATATTTTTGATGATATCCGAGAGCTTTCTGACCCTTCATAGACAGCAATGCAACTGATATGTTCAAGGCCCAGAAAGGTAGTAAGGACATTGTTAAAGTAGTCCATGTGACATCAGTGGTTCAACCGTAATGTTACAAAGTTACGAGAATACTTTTTGTGTGCAAAGAAAACAAAAAGAACGACTTTATTCAACAATTATTCTTCTCTGCGTCACTGTCTGCCGCCATTCATGAGAGTACCGCAATGCATCTCGTAGCTTCATAAAATTACGGTTGAACCACCGAGGTCACCTGGACTATTTTACCGATGTCCTTACTACGTTTCTGGACTTGGGAACATTAGAGTTACATTGCTGTCTATGCAGGGTCAGAAAACTCTCGGATTTCATCAAAAATATCTTAATTTGTGTTCTCAAGATGAACGAAGGTCTTACGGGTTTGGAACGGCATTTGGAACTGCATATATATA